CAAAGCATTACCCGACTCTGAGTGACCCTTGAGGTTACGACCCCCCCCCTATAGGTTTCGCACAACGATGCCGTACCCTGAGCTCTACCTATAGGTTTCTTTGGCGCAATAAAAACCATATCTAGAGCTTTCTTTGGCACGATAAAAACATCTAAGTGGGACTAAGGCCACTTTTGGGTTCCTCCTAACCTTAGAAAAGCATCTAATGCAAACAATTGAATAGTAACTTTGGAGGTGACAGACACATGAATATAGCACTCCTACTAAACATGATAGGGAACAGTGGGGTGGAGAAAAAACCTCTATGACATTCGTGCTTCACCGAAAAAGTTAACCTGACACAACCGAAACAAGTTCAGTAGACACACTGCTTCTCAAATGACGTATTTCACGCTTTTTCTTTGAATTTACTTTTGAGGTGACCATGGGGCTACTATGCATGAGAAGCTTATTCATAAAATCAGCTCGTGGAAAAATACTCTGAACCAAAAGAAGTGCACTGACCTTAGCGTTATTCTACTAGGACGACTCGAAGACAAACACCGCGACTGTAGTATATTGTGGGTTGTGGCACTCACAAGCGAGGTGTTTCAGGTCATGGCGCGCTTCTTGGAAATGGTTTGTTGTTCGTTGTAGGGGTCCATACAAGGGTCACTGGGTTCGGTTTCATTTTTTTGCTATGCGTTTCTGGGTAGGTCAAAAACTGAGTCAAAAGAATTTGACAGGAATGGGCGGTTTCAACAATGTTATGGGCTCCGTTCTGCTTGTAACTTCGAGCATGCATAGATTATGAGGTGGTCACTAATTAGGCCTCAAAATAGATTCGATTAAAGTCAAAATGTAAGTATCATGTGGTAACACACTTGGCATGCACCGACGCAAGAGTGATGTTTTTTGTCAGCGCTCCCTTCATGACCATTGCTGGCGGATTGGATGGCGTAGCGGATAGCACGATGGGTTCCTGATGGCACGACAATGCGGGACTCACTTCGGATCTTCACTGCGGCAACAGTTTTGCATCTGCATCAACGCAACGTGACGTGAACATTTCCGGAAACAAGGTTCTCCACACAACTGTGCTGGTTTGTAAGGTGTCATCCGGTAAAGGCCACCAGGACACCTGGTCATTTGCAGTGAGTGCATTTATTGTACTCGTCTTACACAGTGAACTCGAAACTACCTTCAAAATTTGCGGAACGATTCTCTGAGCGGAGTTATGGAGGTTTTCCTTCACTGTTTTTCTTCTTGCTTGTGGGCTGGCGCAGTGAATTTATACCTGTAGCGCGACTCACAGCTCTCTCCATGCGAAACAGATATCATATTCCTGTTCAGGGGGTCAAACTACCTCTACAAACGTCACCTTGAGAAAATCCGAGGTTTTGAGTCAACTTCGAAAAAACGGGGTACAGATGGTCACGCCTGGATGATAGCCAATACTCCGACTAGCATACTGGTGGTGACTGGTCTTTGCACTGAAATAACCCTTCAGTCATGTTTTTTCGCAAAGAACAATACCTGGCTCACTTACGTCGAAACGTCAGATTTGGCTAGAAATTAGTCTCCAGAGGTAATCCATCCCGCTGAACATAAATGTGATGGTATTTAATTGTAATAAGCCTTCTGACATGAGCTACGAGGGGCAGCACAAGCCCGCTTTCAGGCCACAATGTGGCCACAAGTACATGTCTTCAAATGGCATATACTTGACTTATTTCCACTGCCAGACACACAAGCACGCGAATGAATGGGAAGCTGAAAAGTGCAAAACATTCCCCATGAGAAGGATCCGATCCACAAAATTCCCCTTGCCGTGCCATACAGAACCCGTCGTGTTGTCCACTGCGCCATCCGATCCCTTGGCAGTGACCGTGAAGGGTTCGCCGACAAAAACATCGCTCTTGCGTCGGTGCATGCCAAGTGTGTTACCGCATGATACTTACATTTTGACTTTGATCGAATACATTTTGAGGCCTAATAGTGACCACCTCCTAAGCTATGCATGCTCGAAGTTACAAGCAGAAAGGAGCCCATTAAGGCTGTTAAAACCGCCCATTTTCGTCAAATTCTTTTCACTCAATTTTTGACCTACCCAGAAACGCATATCAAAAATGAAACCCATTTTTGTGACCCCTGTATGGATCCTTACAACAAGCAACAAACCATTTCCAAAAAGCGCGCCATGACCTGAAACACTTGTCAGTTACAAACTTATAGTGTCCAAATGATTATAGAGGGTAGAGAAAAGAAAAAAAATATAAATAAGCACACTATGGGTATGCTGAGCCACCGTGTGTAGGACGGAATTTTCCGAAAAACTACAGTACTTGACTTCGTTCCAGGAAGTGCGACCTTACTTCCGGCACATTATAGCGCATTTGAAACAGGCCTAAATTGGAGTGCGCTTTCTTCTGGATTTGGAAAAGTTGACAGACGCTCATTAGAAAGATTATGGAGATAACTTTATAAAATGTTTTTGCTTCTGTAGGTTTCAATGCTAAATGAATATGCGCAGGCCAATTTTCTAATAGACCAGCAAAAGAAGTATTGTGTAGATATTATGCGGATAAAAGGATAAAGGATGAAGTCTTCTCCGCTGATCAATCCCTTTCTTGGATGAGGCACGCATGCTACTTCCATTCAGAATCGCAATGGCTTATTGAATGCGATGTGGCCTATATAATGACTTGCGGGGGCCAGTCGATGTACAAGTCAATATTCTTATCCTCACAGACGAATTTGGTACCAATTTACCGCCTCCGGAGCGTAGAAGGCTTGGTTGACCTGAGCGGGTAAAAGGTGCAGATACATTCCCAAGATTGGGTTTTGCATTCAGTTTGCTATGGGGTAGAGCAGTTTCTGGTTTGTAGCTTAGTAAAGTAAAAATGAGAAAAGTCAAAAGGAACTGTTACACAAATACACCACATTATATAGCTGGAAAAATCGAAATAGGAATCGTAAATATTCCCACATTTGAAAGCGTTTATTGCTAACTCATATTTCCTCATCTCGTCAGCCTCTGCTGATGACATATCGGTGTACTTTTGTTCTAGCTGACTTTAATCCCACTCTGATTTGAACCCAGCCTAAAATATTTCTTCCCTGTAGCAAGTAGGATCGACATGCTAGCTTGTCAGATATATGTAATACTGAACGACGGAAAGGCAGAAAAAAATTTGTTTTCATCCTTGTTATATCGTCTACCGTCCGTTCTCGAACCAAGATGAAAGTGCATCAGAGTTTAGGCCACTTTTAAATGCCCCGCAACGTGCCACAAGTGCACGGTAGCAGGTCTGCAACAAAGCTGAGTACAGTAGTTTTTCGAAAAATCCCGTCCTACGCGGTTTTTAAGGGCATGGCAGCGTCTTTGGATAATCTCGGTCGTTTCGCGGTGGGACTTCTTCGGCCAAGTTCTACTACTATGGCCTCCATTCCGTGCACGATGAAAGACGCAAGGGCGCAGCCTAAGGTATGAACGCAGCCTTGGTCAACCACAGTCTACGACTCCCATCACCTGAAGCGTAACGTGGGTTTATAACGATAACGTGACGGGGATAGGTTTCACAAAATGGCTTTTTTCAGGAGTATGAACATTGTTTTTCACTTTCGTCATGATAACAAAACAGACTGTCGATACCTGAGCAAATTCGGCGAAAGCCTTCCAATGCAAAAGGAAAAAGAAACGAAACTAAACACACCAATGCGCGAAAAATAGCCCAACCTGTTTCCATTCCCGTTTTGCGGCACTTCGACGTTCTTCACTCTCCTTGGTGTAGTTGATAATTTCAGCATGAAGCAAATCGAAAGGAAACGCTGCTTGGACGTTCATGTTTAACGTCGAGAACTAATGTCAACAAATAAGAAGCAGAACACTTTTCATTACCAACATAAAACTCTTGGGGGACAAAAGCTCCCAACAGCAGAAGACGAAGCCGATGTTATTATTTATAAATACCACCAGTCACGCCGTGCAATTGCGTACTCACTGCTGCTATCGAATCCACGTCTAATGCATATTCACTCCGCATGCGCCAACTGTAATTAAGCAAAGGCGAAGAAAATGCCTGCGATTGTGCCGAAGGGCGACTGCAGAAGACTCGATTTTGTATCATAACTTTGTTTTCGATTGGTTTAATCATTGGCGCTTGTACTTCAGACCCTTTGCTAGTAGAGGGTTGTCAGGGCCACGACGAACGCCATTATTTTCCGCCAGCAGCTGGAAGCGGTTTGAATTTCCCACAAGCGCAATTTTGAACTCAGGCACACTGTGTGCAACGACACGATATTTCGAGAGCCGTAATCTCTCCTACTCTATTATATAAACCTCATTGCTGCTGCGACTAAACCACTCAAGCTGACCTCCACTCTACTAACATCCTCTTTTAATTGTCTTTCTGTTTTTTCCTGCATATTCCATCGGAACGGCGACCTCTTGTGTGAGTTTCGCATTTCCCGAGTCGTACTATTTTTAAATGCGCCTTCTTTTTTTAGTCATATTTGCGGGTTTATGACCCCGCGTGCTGCTGGTGAATAACATAAAAATTAGTAGACTGGTTTATTAGTACAGTGAAGGAGATCGCATTGGTTGTCGAGTATCAGATGTGAGCCGGACCTTGGAAGTGAGCTGGACCCATGAGGCGACGATCGTGGAGGAGATCTTCAGGGGACGAGGAGTCGAACGGACGAGCTGGATGGTGGTGAGATCTCGGTGCGGAGAAGAAGCCTCATCGTCTGCCGCAGACCTTAATACCATGCGTAAGATGACTCAGCAATACCGTCTCCCTAGCACAAGCTCGCGCAGTAGAGGCGCTGATGAAAGAAATGGATAGGGCCGCTACTACCACTATATAGTTACTATGATCTACGGAACCCTTGTACCTCTTACACCTCCCCCCATTGCAAAAAAGTCCGTCCTCGGACTTGAGAACGGGGAAACTGAAGAAGAAAAGAAAAAGAGAGAGGGTACTCACCGTAATAGACATCAAACGAGAAAAAACAACCGGCTATTCGAGCAGATCGGGCAGCGATGCGGTCGTCGTTACGGCGCCGGAATTCCGCGCCCAACGGAGTAGGATGTCCCAATACGACAAGCCGGCTAAGGATTTCTCATGACCGAGCACGAATTGTCCGTGGAGACAACGGGACAGGGCTACGTGCAGTCGGTGGGGGTCGTTAGGGAATTCCCCACGCTCAGCGTCAAAGCCGGTACGTGTCGTCAGTAGGACTACGACATCCTTCTCACGCCCCTGAACGCTATCTACGGTGTGGATGTCAACTTGGGTACGCTTGGTTACCGCTGAAGATGCCGCCCAGGGAGATGGAGTTGAGGAGTGCTGCGGTCGTCATACAGATTATCGCTGGGGGGCGAACTGCGAATATCGCGTCGACGGCATCCCTGGTTAGGTCGGAGATGTCGCGTTCCGCCAAACGATACTCGTCGCGCTCGGCATCGGTGAGCTCTGTGGCGAGATCGTGCTGGAACAGAAAACGTTCGAGAAGCTCGTGTTCGCGATGGTAGGCATTGCAGCGCCAACGAGTATAAGGGGACATTATCTGCCCGTAGACGCGAGGTAAGTGCTTCAGGTTGGTATGGAGGTCGATTAATGTCTGAGGCGCTCCTTCTGCTAAGGCGGAATTCGACACGTAACGCAAGACATCCAGATGGTGGTACTGTTCTAGACGGAGCAGTTTCCATGAATTGAGCTACCGCGTTGTTGGTCGATCGCCAGATGTCACCATGCTGGAACATGTCACCGTGAGCGAATTTCTTATGACGGGACATGAGCTTACATTCCTCCGCCGACACAGGAAGGTGAGTCTCTACGTGCGTCTCGGTTCGTGCACCAAAAAAGTTAACGGAATAGGAAACGAAATGACGAATGATCTTACAAAAGGAAGCGGGGGTAGAGTAGCGCTTAGTATTGAGGCGATACACCTGTAGGGACTGCAACTGGGTGGTGGAATTTGGCAAGAGCCAAGAACAATTATAAGAATATGGGACAAAAAAGAGGTTAGTAGGATTTTCTGTTGGGCAAAGCCAGGCGTCAGGGGAAGCCGAACAATTGGCTACCGACGCCAGAGCGAAACAGCAAAGAAAGAGAAGTCGAACATCAGGAAGTAAACCAGTAGCAGATGAATTTGAAGAAGTAGATGGCTTATTGTCAAAAGCTGATTGAGCGAGCTCCTCGTTATGTTGAAGTAAAACAACTCTAGACTGAGAATTTGAGAGCTCGGCTTTCGTTTGGTCTACTTTAAGAGAGAGTTCTGCTATCCGCTGCTGAGCGGAGGCTAGAGGATCAGCCGAAGGAGAAGGAGGAGGAAGAAAAGCATCACAAGCCATAAGCTGAGCGTTACCACGTTGAACAGGAGGGCCACGGTTAGTAGGAACCAATGGTGAAGGGGCCGCCTCGGCGGCGTGCGCTGTAGTTCGGTGCCGTGGGCATTGATATATGAAGTGTCAAACTCCTCCACAGTTGTAGCAGACATCGGAGCGGGGCAGTTGGCGCTGGCGGCTGGCCTGGAAATAACGACGTTGATTATTGCTAGAGAGATTATAAGCATCCTGAAAACCATATCCACCGCTAACGCCAGTCCGTCTTCCCTGGGGCCGGAGGGGGGGGGGGCGGATTTCGGGGAGGGGGTTGGGGAGGTCTCCTATCTTTCCTATCCAGAAAATTGACCGAAACCTCAGGCTGCCCAGGTCAAATAAGGCGGTCCGCTGTGGCCTCACTAAGTAGCTGCTCAACCATCTGCGCTTTGGTAACGGCCTGCTCGAAAGTAGAGGGGTTGTCCAATTTGACAAAGTAGCGGATATCCCCCGAAGACGGGCAACGAACTCTTCGAGAACGCGCTCCCTCTGGGTGTGAACATCCTGTCCGGTTGTTGCTGCTCGAATCAAGTTGAGCACCCTGTTAGCAAAGGAGGCTGCCGGTTCCCGGGCTCCTGCCTACAGGAGGACAGCTTTTGGCGAGCGACATACCGCTGCTGGGGGCTCTCGAAGAAGGCCTTGAGGTGGCTAGCTACGCGGTAGAAGTCTTTACGTTCTTCCTCGTTGAGCTCTTCGACTTTCTCGCGGGCTACGCCGTCAAGATGTCCAATCAAGAAGTTGGCCTTCTGCTCACTTGTGAGGGTTGATGGGCGCATACGAATGACATCGGCCAACCTGCGCTACCACACGGAGAATTGGGCTCCCTCCTCGGTGATCCCTGAGAATGGAGATATTTTGAGGGAGTCCGATTCAGGTCCTAACATTGCAACGGTAGGGAGTGAATCAAGACGGTTACCTACCGCTAGAAAGGACTCGTTCAACTTGCGTGTCAAAGAAGTATTACCCTCGTTAATCCTTTGCGCAAGGGCTGTGGTCTGAAATCTCGCATCTCGCCAGACTTGAGCTATGGCTACCGACGCGGCATTCCGAAGTGCCTTGGCGTCCCTTCCATGGAGGACGGAGGCGTCATCTACCTGCGCAAGCAAATCATCAAGGGGTGCCGTAAGTGCACCTGCATGGACAGTTTCGGGTGAATCGGGTGAAGGAGGAGGAGCTCCGATACTTACCGACTCCGAATCTTGTGGAGGGGAGGGGCAGGTGCCCCAACCAAGGCAGGAGACGAAGACGATCCGGACGATGTAGCACCGCTACGAGTAGTTAGCATGACACGAATAACAGACGAATTGAAGGGTACCAGCATTGAAGGGTCGCTACTTTTATATGCCCTCGGATGGAAAGCTCCCCCCCCCCGTGGCTCCAGGGTCAGTCAGGGGTCGGCGTGAGCGCGCAAATATTTTCAAAACAAAACGAAAACAAAAATATGCAATGTTTTGAAAAGCTGGAATGCAAATGTTATGAGAAGGAGGGACAAGAAGTACCAAGGTAGAGTTAAGTGTGCTATTGGCGTGAACCGTACATCGTGCGGGAATTCAGGTGCGAACACAGGGGATTTACCGATTATAAGGTACGCACCTGTGCATAAGGGAAAAGAAAGGTCAGTTGCATATCAATGCGACACTACATTGAAAAGGATAAAAAAATAATATGGCGTCGATAACAATATCCACTGTTTGAAAGTCTGCTGCGCCGTCGAATTTCTCAAACTCCTAACACTGATATTTGCATAGTCTTCTCACAGGGGCCCCAAATAGCTGCACATCATTCTTACTTGTAGACGCCATAAAAACTCATCAAAACTGGCTGCTCATCTAGCTAATCACGTAGTAGCTCGGCGCTTCTCAAAAGGAGTATACTCGTGTTAACGACCAATAGGCCGGCCTAATTCTGCAACTCTACTTGTAATGCGTTGGACGCTAAGATATCTTCTGGCTAAAGTGATGATTCACCGAAAAGGAAATTTGAACGCTTTCCCAGAAACGGCCAGACAAAGAAAGTTCTAAAATAGAGAAAAAAAAAGGTGAAACGGTCAAACAAAGTGCACCCAGCTGGTTGAAAGAAAGTAGAAGATCAAAAGTTTGCCGATAGTTGAAAACAAAAGGACAACGGGCTGTGAGCCCTTGAGTGTTTGAGTACAAAGGAATGCATGACCCATCCTCCAAAAAAAACTACATGCAGCTGGTATGAAATTTGAAGTCGTGATTGCACAAAGAAAGTACAAAATCGTGACTGTTTGGGCCATGGGAAGAAGCATCACCAAGAGTGTCCGCGAAGGACATTTTCCCATTTTCCGTTTGGACTAGACACTTTACAAGGCAACCACGAGTTCAAATTTAAGACAAAGGTAATAACTAAGAAAGGAAAGAAAAGCAAAAGCTACTATCTTTAAATGCAAAAAAAAGAAACCATGGTAGTCGATAGTAGTCACATAAAACCGCTGCCAGCTACCGGGACCTCGACCCCCTTAGGCAAAGCGAGATTGCCCAAGGCAAACGAGGCGATCAATCTCATTGTCTTGTGCAGGCTCAGCAGAGCCGAAAAATTGATAGAACTGACCTGCCATCTACGACGTCTCACTCGCTGCTACCAGTCATATTTGTGGGTTTATGACCCCGCGTGCTGCTGTTGAATAACATGAATATTAGTAGACTGATTTATTAGTACAGTGAAGGAGATCGCATTGGTTGTCGAGTATCAGATGTGAGCCGGACCTTGGAAGTGAGCTGGACCCATGAGGCGACGATCGTGGAGGAGATCTTCAGGAGACGAGGAGTCGAACGGGCCGGTGGCGAGATCTCGGTGCGGAGAAGAAGCCTCGATCGTCTGCCGGGACCCTTATACCTCTCAAATACCATGCGTAAGATGACTCAGCAATACCGCATCCCTAGCGCAAGCTCGCGCAGTAGAGGCGCTGGTGAAAGAAATAGATAGGGCCGCTACTACTACCACTATATAGTTACGGGACCCTTATACCCCTTACATTTTCCTGCTTCTATTTCCGATCCCATTCTACATTACATTTCCTTGTACATGTGTACATGCAGCTTGCATAACCCCTCCACATTAGCACATTGCTTTGCGCCTTAGAGAGTTATCAGATTCCTCTCCTGGTTTCCAAAGTCAATCGCGAGGAATAGTGTCACGCTAACTTCTTGGAGAATCGAGAGATTTCCTGAGGAAGTGATTGAGCAAAATCCTCATGCTCATAATTCATACTAGATTACGAGAGCTTTCTTCGAAATTATGGATTATTACGTGAAAAAGTATTAGAATGACCTCTCATAAAGGAAGGGTGAAATCGCAAAAGTAGCCAGATAATTCAGTAATGACTTGAATAACAACACCGTAGTACTAGAGGATCAGAAAGTAAATATTACAACATGACGGCAAATTAATGGCGACTCTACTGCATTTCTGTCGCAGAATTCGGTCTTCATTGTTGCCTTCTAATCCTCTCAGTTGCCTGAGCTCTTTCTTGTGTGGGTTTCTCAGTCTTCTTTCCCTTCCTACGCTAAAATATTTCAAGCGGGTTACGTTTTTAGATTTTTCTTCAGAATGATTTTGTTGCATACTGCGCGTATGATAACTTAGTGAAGACATTTTGAATAATATCAGCGCCGTGTAAGCAGAGTGTGAGGTCAGTCACGTACTCAAAAGGATGATGAGAGGGCAGCTGGAGAGAGAGAGCGACGAATTACGAAATAGTTATACTACTCCAGCATTTTCTATCTCTCATTCTTAGGTCAGCAACATTTCCAGGCTTCTCGAGGACCTCCAGAGGGATCGCGTAGCAGTCTTCTTCGCGACTACTTGTGGAAATCACGAAAAATACCTGGGTGGTTGGCTGTGCTGTTCTTTGTACACAGCACTGGATACAGGCAATGATCAGGTGGAATGGCGTCTTAGAACATGGATGCGCGCGAATTCTACTATGCGGAAGAGATATATAAAAACTAAGAGGAAAGAAAAAAACTGTGAATGGCCGAGATTCAAGGACAAGGAAAAAGGGGAAAGGAAAATGATAAAAAAGGAATTCCAAAGTGGTAATATGATGATGGCCACAATATTTCCGACACGCTCAAGTTTGACTCGCAGCTGAATCTACAACAGGGAAAATAGTTTAGCTGGCACAGACTCTCTAGGAGATTCAAATTGACCTTGGCTAACATGAAAATAAAAAAAGGCAAATCTGCTGAAAATTCATAAGTGAATAGATTCATGAAAATGTTGGGAACTTACCTACGTGAAAGGCGGATGGAATATGCTGGGCGAAACAATGCAGTAATAGAGAATACTAGAAAACTCATCAGTGGAATCAGCAGTAGTCAGCTTGAGTGGTTTAAGTCGCAGCAGCATTGAAGTGTATATAATAGATTAGGAGAGATGACGGTTCTTCAAAATGTGCGCGGGGGAAATTCAAATAGCTTCCAGCTGCTGGGGAACAATAATCGCGTTCGTCCACGACCTGGATGGGCGTGGCCGGAGATTATGGTATCGCAGGAACCTGGCGCAGGCAACTGGAAGACGAGACTCCAGGACAGTGGTGGTGAGTGCTCACGATGTGAAGATCCACCCCCGACCGTCTTCCACTCCCGTCCAAGTTCCCTTCCCCTTTCTGTGATGTTAATACTAATAAATATGTGGCACTATTCAACTATTACTACCCCAGTTTTCGGGAAACGGGCCGGATCTTGATCGATTTTTTTCTATGGAGGCAGATTTGGCTGAAAGTTGGGCTCCAGGGGTAATTCGACCTGCTGAACACGAATATCACATCTGCTTCGCCTGAAAGTGCTTGGCGCCGGCGCCAAAACCTTGAAATCACCGAATTCGCTGAAAACTTGTCTCCAGGGGTATTAGGTTGTCCGGAAAGTTCTCAGCGTTTTGTGCACCTATTTTTTGTACATTCACTGATGATTAAAAGCTCATTCTGCCTTTCTTCTCAGTAGCACATCCTGTAGAGAATTTCTTGCGCTATCTGATGGTATAATTGTCGTTTCACCATTGCTTGATTAACCCCCTTTCTTCAAGATTTTTTCAAGCATGTGAAAAGAGCACTTTGGACGACTTTTTTTCTTCGACTATAAATTGGGCCAATCCGCTATCGAAACAACTCAACAAATTAACCAGGTGTGAGGGCCCAATAGTGCTAGAGAAAGCACTGTGCGGCAATGGCTCAGCAAATTTCGTTATGGAGATTTCAGCCTTGAAGATGAACCTCATAGCGGTCGACCTAAAGCAATACCCGACGAGGATTTTAGGGAGATTTTGGAGGCTGGCCCATCCCAATTTGGCAAGGCCTAGCAGAAGAGCTAGGTCTTGCCAAATCCACTGTTGCAGATGGTCTGGAACGCATTGGAAAGGCGAGAAAAAACTCGACAATTGTGTGCCCCACAATCGGAGTGACCGGCAGGAAACGGCACGTCTAGAGGTGCCTTCTGCATTGCTTTTGCGCAGCAGAAACGACTTGTTTTTAGGTCGAAATGTCACCTGTGATGAAAAATGGGTCATGTATGATAACAGGAGACGTTCCGGACAGTGGTTGGCTTTCGACGAACCACCGAGGTAATTTTCAAAGCCGAACCCTCACGAAAAAAAGATTCTGGTCAAGGCTTGGTGGTCATCGGCTGTTGTAATCCACTATAACTTTTCATCACCAGGCCAAACCATCACAGCAGAACCCTACTGTGAACAAACCGACCAAATGTACCGAAAATATTGTCAGCTGCAGCCAACACTTATCAAAAGAAAGGGTCCGATTCTTTTACATGACAACGCCCGCCCACACGTTTCACAAATCATATTCCATAATATGAACGAATTGGAGTTGAAGTTCTACCTCACCCACCATATTCTCTAGACCTTTCACCAACGACTGTCACCTTTTCAGACATTTTCAGAACTTCCTTGCTGAAAAATACTTCATCAATTAAGACCAGGCAAAAAAGACCTTCGCAGATTTCGTGGATTCTCGACCACCCAGTTTTTTCTTTGATGGATTTCTCGACTGCTGTCGCATTGGCAAAAGTGTGCTGATTCGAAAGGTGCCCATTTCGATTAAATCCGATGAGTATTAAAGAAGCTACGATCGTTTAAACTGAAACACCCAAAACGCTGAGAACTTTCCGGACAACCTAATAGTTTGACCTCCTGAACACGAATATGACATTCGCTTGACCTGAAACTGCCTGGCGCCTGCGCCACAGGCGCCGGCGCCAAGGTACCTTGGATCACCAAACCTGCTGAAAACTTGTCTCCAGGGGTAGTTTGACCTCGTGAACACGAATATGACATTCGCTTGACCTGAAACTGCCTGGCGCCCGCGCCAATCTGGCGCTGACACCTTTTTCACCAATTCGGTGTATATCGAGGTTAGTTAGTGTACTGATTACAAGTATGACATCGATTTATTATCTAGCACTCATAAACACATGAATAACTTGATATGTGGCCCTAAAGAGGGCCGTTGGGTTGGTGTTGTTGACCCAAAATGTTATACCCGTTTAACAAGGGTAGAGCGCTGCCGCCTGGTCCCCAGAAATTGAAGAGTGCCCCGCTTCGAAGTTCGAACTGTTTCTTCCACAGGAACTCGCACAGGTAATCCTCATAGCGTGGCGGTCAATTCCATAGCGCCGCTTACCTATCTGCTTGTATTTCTGCCAGAGTGACTCGACGTTCTGTGTGTGTGCTCCACTCTGCGGGTCTACGAAATTCAACCGGTGGTTTACCGTGAGGTGCCAATACGCTTGTGGAAGCATTGAAATTTGATTGTACGCTCTCCAGCTGTCGCTAATTTGATTGTACGCTCTCCAGCTAGATCGAGCGTCTCTCCTTCGGACCAATAGAAGAAAAGCACGTCCGCTCCCTCTCTCGATTCCACCAAAGAACCACTGGTGTCTGCGCGTAAATCGTCCACGGTTTTACTTCCTCCTGGTGACCAGTGTTTCGTCGATCTCCACGGTACATCCAAACGCTCCGATGAAAGGTGGATTCCTCATAAAGTACTTGACGCATATGTCTCTGAAAAGTTGCTCCCACTGAACTACACTGTGATGGCTGATCTCGAGCTCATATGCTTTGTCGTTCACCTTACCCATGTCGCGCATCCAGAAATAAGACAGCGCAAACACACTGGACTCAGGTAGGTTAGACTTGGCAAAAAAGGAGCCTTTCGGCGCTGGCACATAGATGTTATTTTCGCCAGAGCGGCACGTCCTACGGTGGCACACCCAGCCACTACCAGCCATCGTGCAGGTAGTTCTTCAGGACCATAGATCCTTGACAGAGCGGGCACAATGGCGTGGATAGCAGCCCCATGGATCGCGGCCATTCCTGGAACTGAAGGTGGTCCATCTGCAGCTTCTTGTGAACCTCCTTCAAGGAAAAGTCCATCAGATTCTCCTGGCGTTTTCCTGAAATCTGGGGTAGTAATAGTTGAATAGTGCCAAATATGTATAGCCTAAAACTCCTTTGTATTCAAAACCGCTACACACCTTCAGATACAGGAGTCATGAACCTGCAATCTGATATGGAGGCCGGCAAGATTAATTTTTTGCGCACTACATACTTTTGAAATAACATTATCTAACAACAATTTTTTTCATAAAAATTATATCTCTTTCAAAGTTAAGTTTCATCCCTGACCCCACCAACCCCCCCCCCCTCCTTCGTCTTGATAAGTGCACATATCAGAAGAAGACTTGGGAAGGAACTTTACACTAGGCGAACTACCGTATACAGGTATGCTTTTCAATTTTTTTTTCGTTTTGAATATGCACATTTCATAGAAAATTTTTTAATTGAGAAAATCAATCAAAAAAATAGAGGAATGACGACGCTCTACCTCTTTTTTTTGCTTGAGTCTATTTTAACTTGCTTGAGAATGGACTCTGTGCATTAATAGTCAAGCACTCCTAGTTACAGTCTCGGCGACGAGACCCCCTTCACGGCCCAGTTCGCCATAATCGAAATTAATGCAGTAGTTCGTGAATCATCTATCGTTCCGCGTGGTAGAAACCTCGGCCGTTGCTGGAAGAGAAAACTTCCAGTCCAGCCAAGCCCATAGGTTTCTCGTGGCATTTCTATCGTTTCGAGTGATAGAAACCTCGGCCTTTGGTGGAAGAGAAAACTTCCAGTCCAGACAAGCCCATAGGTTTCTCCTCGCACACCTCAGTAGGTTTATGTTTACTGGCAATTACAGTATTTTAGTACAATGGGAATAATTCTCCCATATTGCCGTTTAACTTTAGGGAAAGGACTCGCTCGCCATATAGTCGACTCAAAAAGGTACCAATTACGAGAACTAGCTACTCTCATTTACCCTTAGGTCACAGAAGGTATAGTGCACTAACAGAATTGCAAATCCTCGCGAAAAAAAACCTATGCCCAGGATCGTGCATAGGACTAAACTATTTTGCATTGCAAGCCATACAACGCTTGGCAATGCTATAATATTTTTGCTAATTCATATAAAAAGGGCGCCCGCAAATAAATGCGTCAAACGCCCAGGCACTGGCAGAAAACACGTTGCGCAAATAACCTAGCACTAGCGAGCAGATGCAAATTGCGCAGCCGTTCTGGCGATAACCTATTCTGTTGACCGACAGGAAGAGCACACATACGATATACCTATTGCAATGGATAGCGGTGCTGATTACGCAACGCTGCTCGGGAAAGCAGCGTTATTTTATTGTTTCTCAGCAAGATAAGAGGGAACAAGCATTGCAATAATAACGCTCCTAAGAATGACAAAAACTCCTATAAATTTATATGGGGACCAACAGCACAGAAAAAGCAGTTGTTCCTAACTCAAAAAACCACAAAACAAGGAAAACTTGGCAAAAAAAGAGCAGAAAAAGTGAAAAGAAGACAACTTTTGCTTTGAAATGCCTTATTTGAACGTCTTGTGTGCAATCACACAGACTGCTCGTTACCGTAACCCCAATGCTAATCATAGGCGCTAGGAAAATTTTGAATGGCCTGCGAGCGCGCAACATTAAAGTGTTTTGCGTGCAGCCGCACACGACGCGCAAGTACAGTGCCACACGCCTAATTAAATCATCGCAGGGCTGAAAAAGTGGTTTTTGAACAAATCAAAAGTTATCTCTTTCAGATCGTTAAAAAAACTGAACAAAATTCATAATGAAAATTCTAGGAGGGTGCAAAGGCGTCAGTCAGAAGCAAGTAAGAAGGACAACTCAACTTTTTCTTGAGAAAATAACCCCAAACTGATTACGACAATAGAAACTCACTAGGTTGAGGGTGGTAATGTCAATAAGGCACATCATACAATCGATTGCTGTGCGAAATGAGCAAGACTCCGCACACGGCTTACCCAAAACGTAATATTACACTAGTTTTTCTCAACTATTAGATATTTTGTGCAAAATACAGCTATTTTAAGAATGTTAATGCTAGCGACTGTTTTCAAATTTGGAAAATAAAATCGTACTCCTTGAAAAATTAGGCTGTAAGTAAAGTAATTCCGGTGAAACTCCTTGGGGATCTTCGACTCTTACTATTTCCACTTAAGAATTACTAGGAACTTCTATCTAAACTCAATATAGTAGCAACACAACCCTTCTTGTTTCATATTTTGCCTACCACCCCATGGGAAGCTTCCCTGTTTCGTAGTTCCTTCTCCCTAGGAGAGAGCCTTTCGAGGAGAAGAACATGCTATCTTTTATACACTTATAAAAGTAGCGACAGGAGCGTATACTGTATGTCAGTGCAGCGGCGTTTGGTGCGGTGCCAAACTCGTTCTCCACCAGTCGTTGAAGCGGCCAAGTGACAATACTGTAGCATGTCCTTCGTACTACTCGTTTTCTACCACTTTTGGTCTCATGCGCGTTCCAACAAGAAGGCAGAGAACGGCTTTCACAGGGTGACACACTCATACTGCCTGACACGCCCAACCGTTCGCACCGAACTAGAGTGTATTTCAAACCATGTCTTCGGGTAGTTTATGAATCGAGCTTCAGATAGTTACAGTAATCTATATATTTGTGGGCGGTGCGGTGTTTCATTAACATTCATAACTTGTGTAAGTAAAGCACACATGTATAATAATGTAAGGTTCGCTCACAATACAGAGTTGTAATAGAATTCAATCACCTAACGCGTAGACAGCAAATCTATTCAACGAATCCTAATTATAACAAAACCAGGGACGTCGAAACAATCGTCCAAACCTTCCATTTCGTCGTAATAATACTTTTACCGTACTAACTCTTCATTTCGCCGCCCGCCATCTCTATTTCGTCAACAATTGAATACCTCACCCATTTTTCCAGTTAACGCAATATCAACATGTAGTCCGCAATCCATTCTCCCACCTATGACATCCTTATTCGTCATTAAATAAATAGCTCTTCTGGACATGGATCTGCTCTAGCGATTGTCTCTGATACAGTAGCTCGAAGGTTGAACGCTCAACTGTCCCAATCTACGGTTACAAGAGGCATCACAGCGAATGGATCCATCATGAAACTACTGGGTCAATTTACACCAAATCAAACCGTGGGACAAAGAACAATACAAACCACTTGCTACGTCGCTTCTGATGCAAACTGCTCCTCTCCGTTTATTCTCGGCAGCGATGTTATCCAACAATTCGCACAAACTGTGTCGATAAACTACCACTCTAACACTGTTTCTTTTGACAAGATTATCGTTCCATTCACGAATCCCAACTACAACAACAATAATTCCCCACTCTCCCAGTCTACTTAGTCAATCACACTGTTTTACAACCTTTCTCTTATATTGTGGCAGTAGGAACTACCAATACTATATTTCCTCGTAACTGGGAGCTCTTCACCTCAGATGACCCATTTCATCATCTTCCGGAGGGAATCCAGGTTGGGAAAACCCTCTCTTGTCCTAAGGTGAATGGCACCGTACATACGTATTTTTAATTGCACTTCCGCTCCCATCACTTTATTCAAGTATGCAAAAGTAGCAGTAGCAGCTTTTGTGGGAGTGGAAATGCCTTGGAACCCAGTACTTTCTGTATACAACAATAGTGACCCTTCTGAAGATTCTCAAACCTATGATGGAATCCCCGAATATATTCCCCAGAAGCAGATTTCGCCAAAGATCTACCTGATGTTCCTAATACAGAACAACCTGCGGCAATCCAAAATCAAGTTCAACTCAATCGTTCTTCACTAGATAACACGCAACTCCAGAAATTTATAAATTACTAAATAAGTACCAGGATTGTTATGTAGGGAATGATGGTAACCTTGGTCGTTATACGGGCCCTATTACACATAGAATAAATTTTTTACTCCACCCATCAATACCCAAACAGCGACCATATCGTGTGCCGCTGGAAAAACGGAAGGAAATAGAACGCCAAATCAAGGAAATGCTAAGAGCGCGCATCATAGAACCAAACACGAGCAAATTTGCTTCCCCTGTAGTATTGGTTAAAAAGGGTCCCAAGAAAGACCAATGGCGATTCACTGTGGACTATCGTCAGATAGATGCTATAACTGAAACTGAGATTTACTTTATCCCTCACATGCAAGACACTTTAGACCATGCAGGCGGAAAAGAAGTTTATTCAGTTCTTGGTTTTAAGAGTGGATTTTCCCAAAGTCCTTCACTGGACAAACATAAGCAACGGACAGAGTTCTCCTCTTTTTTGGGACTCTACCAATTCACTGTGGTGGCCCAAGGGCTAAAAGGTGCCCCAGCTACATTTCAGAGGGTAGCGAACAGCCTAATCCGTGAACTGAAATCATGTTGTTTAGCTTATGTTGATGACATAATAATTGCAAGCCAATCTGTCAATCGACATCGACTTAGAGGAAATTTTCATACGTATACGAAATTTTGGCATGAAACTGTCACCAGAAAAATGTTCGTTCTTCCAGACAGAAACCGAATACCTAGGAGCTCTAGTCGCAAAAACGGTACTCGCCCTAATCCTAATAAAGTCGCGAGTATCGCTAAGATCCCACGTCTAACTAACGTGAAAGCGTTAAAGTCATTTTTAGGAGCCGCATCATATTTTAGGCGTTATTTGCCGCGTTTCTCGATAATAGCTACACCGCTTAACAATCTCGTAGTCAAAGACACCGTTCGTGTGGATTGAGGCTCAGGAACAAGCGTTTCTTGCTCTGAAGAAATCCCTAGTTGAAGCACCCTTATTAGCTTCTCCTACATTTGGAGAACCGTATATTATACATACGGATGCATCAACTACAGGCTTAGGCCCATGTATGCTTCAATACAGTCAAAGGACGCAGGGAGAACATCCTATAGCGTACTGCAGTCGCGCATTAGATAAACATGAGAAGAATTACGAGTTATTGAGTTAGA